CACACACACACACACACACACACACACACACACACACACACACACACACACACACACACGTTTTGACTAAATTATGTGTAATGAATGAATATTCCTTCTGGAAAGGAAGATGTTTTTAATCTCCCTGGGAAGCAAAACATAATACAGGCTGGTACTTACAGGTACTTACTCCAGGTACTTACAGGGTACATTACAGATACTTATGGGGCATTCCAGATACTTACAAGGTACATTCCAGTGTACATTCCATGTACTTACAGGGTACATTCCGCGGTATATTCCAGGTACTTATAGGGTACATTCCAGATACGTAGTAGGTGCATTGCAGATACTTATAGGGTGCATTCTGTGGTATATTCTAGGTACTTAAAGGGTACATTCCATGTACATTCCAGATACTTAGTAGGTACATTCCAGATACTTATAGGGTACATTCCAGGGTATATTCCAGGTACTTACATGGTGCATTCCAGGGTATATTCTAGGTACTTACAGGGTACATTACAGACACTTACAGGGTACATTCCATGTACATTCCAGATACTTAGTAGGTACATTCCAGATACTTATAGGGTACATTCCAGGGTATATTCCAGGTACTTACATGGTACATTCCAGGGTATATTCAAGGTACTTACAGGGTACATTCCAGTGTATGTTCTAGGTACTTACAGGGTACATTCCAGATACTTAGTAGGTACATTCCAGATACTTACAGGGCATGTTCCAGTCACTTGCAGGTACCAGTCTGTATTATGAATTGTCTTGTTGTGTACTTGCAGTACGTACCTGGCTGTATCATGTAACTGTCACTCCTAGTTTAAAAGTCTGGATTGAAGATAAAAAAATCTTAATTTCAAACGTACTTAGTTTAGATTAAAGTTCCTCCTGATCGATGGAGCTGCATGTTTTTATATCAGTGAGATCTTCCTGCACAGTCTCTGTAGCTCAGCTCTGTGAAATGTTGTCATTGATTATCTGCTGTTTGCTGCAGGTTATATCCCTCTGACTGTATTTAATCTTTTACTTTAATGCTGCTAATGAATGATTCCTAACTCCTGATGTGATGCTGACTGACGGTGAGCTGTCCCAGAAGAAAATATTTACTGGTTATCCATGCTCCCTCTTTGTTTTTTGTTTTTTTCCTACCTGTTCATTTGTAACTTTTCATTTTTTGCCGTTTTTATTGTGTTTACATGTTTACAGCCGTTTTTTACATTTTGTCATCTATAAACTGCATGAAATCTGCCAAAAAGCCCCTCCTGACCACTCTAGTCAGATCCTGTCCTTTAATGTTTGTTGAAGTCAAACCAAATGTTTAAAGTCAAACCAACGGATCGGTCTTTTGAGGATTAATGGAAATAAAAGCTGTCTTCTCACCTCCAGGGTTTCAGATAAACCTGTCTGGAGCCCCCCCAAGTAAGCCAACCCTCTTTTGTTTCAGTACCAACAGCTCTCATCTTTTCCTTTCTGCCTGACAGTCTGGGCTGGGGGAGTCTCTCCTGCTGTTCTCCACTAATCCCAGTCTAAACATGTCACTGTGACGAGCTGAACGGTAGAAACAAACACGGACCTCAGAGACTGCAGTCTAACAGACCTGTCTGAAAACCACCGAGGGTCTCGTGCCAAAACATCTTCTGTTGATGTTTAGGGACGAGACCCTGTCGACGGATTCCTCCTCTTCCTCGTGTCTCAGTGGGACCGAGGAGCTCCGCCCACTGGGACAGACAAACCCAGTGTGGAAGCTGGAGCTGGGTGGTTTTCATYGTGGAACTAACAGTCCTTCCTGTTTGTCTGTTTTCTGGCCGTGGGAGCGTTTCTGCTCTGACACCGACGCTGTGGTTTGAAGCGGTGTTTCACATCAAAGCTGTTTGTTGCACACGTCTCTGTTTGGGTTGTGAGGCTAAATCCAAGCAGTTTAGCCTCAGAAGCATGACTGGTTGTTGGTTTGTGTCTGGTGCCAAAAGGTGAAAGGTGGGTGCAAATGTGTCTGTGTGTGTTCGTTTGTAGTGTTAGCAAAATAACTCATGAACCACTGAGCAGTTTGCAGCTAACGATTATTATAATAAGTGATTAACTGATGAATCAGAAAACAAAAAACAGAAACATTTTTAATTTTGACCTCTTTATTCCAAAATAGAAAGCTTGAACTGACGCAGCAAATCACACAAAAAAACAGTTTTTTTTATAATATTAAGCTGTAATGCATAAATATTTGTTAAACAGCTTCAGTAAAACAATGAATGTACACAAAAATATACACAAATGTGTGCTTTATTCTTAAAGTCTCTTCATATTTTCTCTCCTTTGTAAAATGTGTCTTGAGGGAAGAGAGTAACCTGAAATAAGATTGAACTATTCTAGTGAAGTCTTTATCTTAGACTGTGGACAGTCTCATGTCAGAGGCGATCATGTTAATCATGCTTATTAATAATTCAATAAATGTCTTGTTTTATTTGCATTATTACCGTATTTATTCAAGTATAGTACGTAAAATTTAATTCATAAAATCATCTATAAAGTTGGGGGGTAGTACTATATTCGGATAAACATTTTTACTTATGTACTTTAACTGAAATATCGGCTTCATTCACAAGATTACTGAGTCTGGAAATGAGACCACGTCGTAAAAAACAGCTGAAGCGAGCTCACCTCTGACACTCCTCTGTGCTTCAGAGTGAGGTAGTAACAAATCCACGCAGGCGACATGATGTGAAAAAAAGCAGTCCTGCACCTTAGTAATGATAACAAACTAATGACATTAGTGTGTGACCGGGCTGCTGCTCTAACAACAACAAACACATGTTCGTCTGTAATGACTGCCGTCTACCGGTGTTCTGAAAAAGTTTGTATCCCTGAAAAAACATTTCCCCACCAGAGGGGGCGCTCATGAGTAGGAAGTAATCTGCTTTTCCCCC